AATAAGGAAGAGTGAGAGTATAAAGGATTATGGGAGCTGCGTTTTGGCAGGCCAGGCTAAAGACATGGGCTTATATGTTTGTGCCATGACTGTTCTATGAAGATAGCACTAAACCCCTCTAATTCCCAAAGACAGCAGCTTAGGGTAGCGGATGCACAGCGGACTCCCTCAGAAAGGCCATTTACTCACTTCAAACTCAATGTTCCAATTTAGCTCTGGATCTGGGACCCAGGCTTCAGGACGGGTTTTTTTCCCCTCCATTCATTTATTTCCTTAACAAATTAGTTATGTGCGAAGAACTTTGTCTGAAATTACCTTTTGGGGGGAACATGGTTGTGCTTCATCTAAGAGAAGAAAGACTCATGTAGGGGAGCTTTTCATATGGAAATTCGGTAATAGTCTCCTCACCCTCCGTGATTCTCTATATTTGCTCATGTCTTTTTTTGTTCCCCCATCTCGGAGAGCTGCCCGCGCTTTTTGGCTTGTTGGTATTTTCTTCAGACGGCGCCCAGAACATGGTTTCCGTTCCTTTATTCCGGCTTCTCCTGATTTTACCCCTCACGTGATCCGAGTCCCCGCAAAGTCACGCGGGAGTCACTGTGGAAGCCTGAACGGGGATCCCGAATCATGGCTCGAAGGAGACTAATATGCCTTATCTGCAAACATGACACTAACGATGCTCGTTACATGGGAGGGGCTTCAATTTAATGTGTAAATTGACTGGCACGTTGCTCTTAAAGTCAGTATCAGCACTGACAGCACTATCCACGCAGCAGCGGTAGATAAGGAGGAGAGAGGACATTGATGGTCCCGGTGGCAGAATTTATCTTTCCCATAATGCCCTGGGGGAGGATGGGGGGCAGGTTGGCATGTTGCAGTATGTTTTTGCCTTTCTGCCTTACAGCTAGATTCCTGAGCTGAATCACTAAGTTAAATACTCCTCTGTGCTCACAACATAAACATGATACTTCCAATTTATCAGATGCGAACTAAACTAACTGTACTACAGAAGGCAGCCAGCAATATGAATGCATAATGGAATTCTGCCTGGCAGCGTGACGTAACTTACAGCACCACCACACATAAAAATAGTGCATCTCGGTAAACGTTCCGGATCCTCCCCACTTTCAGCACGAGAAATTAAAAAACGCGAAACAGCTCATAAGCACAAGTTTCCACTCTGCTGTGAAGGAAGTCACCTGCTCCCTCAGCCGCAAGCTGGAGGTTTCTCCAGATAAGAGAGTCATCCTGGCCCAGAAAGCAATTCGGGGCCTTGGCTGCAGCCCCCCGCCCTCCCAGAGCTCGCCGGCCGCCACTATCTGCCACGCTGGAAGCCGGCACACATCCGAGCCGCGGCTGTGTCCGTGATGAATGGCTGGGACCGGATAAGTACACAACAATAACCTCCCAGCAGCCGCCGTGCGGGTCGCTGACGACGTCCAATTTATCACTCAGCTGTCGCTGGATTTTATCAAGTCTGCTCCCCGCGTCCTTTGATTTATTTTACAATTTATTACCTGCCCTGAGTCAGCGTTTACTCTCCGTCACGCCCGTGCTGTTCAGGAGAAGAGGAACGAACAAAAAAAAAAAAAAGAGGGGGAAAGACTCCCGTTTGCGACACGCGCGACTGCTGCAGACATCGTTTCCTGGTTCCGCGACAAGTGCGGGAACCCGGCGGTCCGTTCCCAGAATGCTTTCCCCTTAATCGGAGGCCCTCTCGATTCAGCGGTGCCCCCTTCTGGAACGCCAGAGTTACGCGGGTAGAGCTCATTTCAATTAAAATACAACAGGAGCCTTGCCAGAATACAGTTTTCTTTGCCTGAACAGATGGGGCGCCATGGTGGATGTGCACCGTTACCTGACCTCTCTTGGGCTGGGGGTTTAGATCACACCTTCTCCCGGTGTCTGTCGAGCAGAGGTGGAAATTTCAGGTCCAGAAAGTACAAATTCAGACCAGGATTTTGTTTCAACCAACCAGTGGAGTACTCTGTGACTGTGACTCTTTATGCTCAACTGGTTGGTTGAAAGTAAATCATGGTCTGGATTTTTACTTTCTGGACCTGAAATTGCCACCTCTGCTGTGGAGAGTAGAGATCCCTCCTGTGCTGAATGAGCTTCCTCAGTCCAATGACATGACGTCAGAATAAACGGTGTATCTAAATTGCCTGTAGAGTGTACACTATGCGATGGGCTGGCATCCCATTCTGGGTGTTCCCCTTGCCTAGTACCCTGTGCTGCCTGGGATAGGTTCCAGACCCTCTTGCGACCCTGCACTGGATAACTGGTTGGAAGATAAACAGATGGAATTTTATCAATACAAATCAGATCAATAAGACTGGCTGACAGCAGGTGCGGACGGCGCTGGGCCTGGGTGTTAGGGGGGAGCGTCAGATCTGTGCAGCGAAAGCGGAGTAGCCACGGGTGGTAAATCAGTCCGTGACCAAGCCGGGCACTCAATTTATAACAATTTTACACAGGATTTTCTCTTCATTATTTACGAGTTATCATATCACATTCTCAAAAGGGAGGAAAACCGTCTGACAGGGTCGGGAAAAAATATAAAACGCAGCCTTTAGTTCCGGCGAATTAAGCGGCTGGAATTGAAAATCGACTCCTCATAACGCACCCCTGCATTCCAGGGTCTACGCTTGTGATGCCATTGCGGTCATGTGACAGAGAAGGGTGGCAGCGAGGAAGCGGGCGTCCCGTTGGAGGGGAGGACATCAGGGATGTGATGTGTGTGGGCGGAGTCTAACAATTTTACAAGAGTACTCCACCACTACAACCATGGCTCTTGCTATGGACAGCATATGGACTCCATTTTTTTTTCTGGGGGGGGGCGGAGAAGCATGAAATTTTTCTTTGCATTACATAACATGCCTGGGGGGGGTTACCTTCATATTACAGCATTTTGGGTTACCATCCTCCACTCCATCCATTTTCTGTAGCCGCTTGTCCTATGCTGGGTCCAGAGCCTACCCAGGAGGCAGGGAACAACCCAGGATTGGCCGAATGCACTAATAATGTATTGTCACAAACTCTTGTTCAGTGCCTTAGGGCTGAAGCGGGCTACCAAAAAAAAAAAAAGTCACAGCTGTTGCATTTAGTGTTTCCTGCAATGATAAATGAAGGAGAGTAACTGTTTTAAGTTACATTTTGACACTTCAGTGACTTTATGGATACATAATTCAAAGGCTCATTGCTGCTTTTCCCCTTGATTTGATCCCACTTTTCATATAAATACTGTCACCACATAACACGAAAGACAAACTCAAATATGCGGCACATTTCGTCTGCGGATCTAGAAATGCTAAATGTACCGTGGCGGCAGTTTAAATATTAAAAATAAAAACACGGCACATAAAACACATCTGACGGCTGCACATTCATTTAAGACGAGCGCTCGGCTTTCACTCGTTGTGTTATTAACAGCGATGCCTTCGGATAGTCTTGATGAAGTCTTTCAGTAGGCGAGCCCTCGCTGTCTCCCAAGGGGTGGGGGGGTGATTGTTTTGGTGGGGGCTGTAATATGTGTACTGCGGATAGGGGGGTTGCCTATTCTCTGCAGAGCTCATTGTCTTTCTCTCTGGTGTAGCTGAGCAGGGACAGGCAGGGTAAATAAGACTAAATAAGACATTTGTGGGTTTTCCTCCTCTGATTCTCCTATTTAAAAACAACATCTCTTGCAGCTTGACGACACTCACCATCCATCTGGCTTTGTAGCACAACATCTTCTACCCAAAAGCTCTATTTCATCTTAATTAATGAAGTTAAATTTTGTCTCCATAATCACCGAAGAACATCTTGGAGTGAGATCTTCTCACCAGCATGAGTTATGAAAATCCCATTCACTTGAAAATCCCGAACCCAGTCACTTCTTATAAGTGTCCCTAATGTTTCATTACCTTTCCACTTCTCTCTACCAGCAATTTTAAGATCATTCTGATAACTTATCCATCCATCCATCCGTCCATCCATCCATCCATCCATCCATCCAATCCCTGAGCCCTCTTGTAGGTCCCCCCTGAGTCTGGGTCTGGGACAATTTCCTCAATTCTCCCCCTGAGAAGGCAGGCCTGGTCCCAAAGTGCCCTGCTTCCAACAGTCCTCTGGAAGAGGGCCTGCCCACACCTCAAGTCTGACAAGAGCAGCGTTTTCAAGCTCTTCAATCAGCAAACATCCATCACGACAATGTAAAGGAACCGTGCGAAGGGCTTCCTGTATTTATACGTCACTATCTATTCGTGAGCGAGACGTCAAATCCTCAGTGTTGAAACAAGAAGAATCACATCACAAAGACCTTCAGAAGTGGCGCAAAGATCCGTCACTGACAATGAAAGGACTTAAAAACGTCAGTGATGTAAAATACCAAATTCACATCCACAAAGAAACACTCTCTGCGATTTGATTCCCTTCGGTACACTTCATTATCCTGTGTGAAGCCTTGACAAGCATAAACATACATATAACACCAAATATTCTCTTCTGCCCGCATTCTAAAATCTGTCAGAACAGTGTAGAGTAGAAGCTGTTTTTGAGTGAACTAAAGGATGTTTAAAGGGAACACAGTTAAACTGTTCCTGCTCTCTTACAGCAGACAGATCACCTTGCAAGAGAGTATGTGTGGGGGATGAGGGCAGTCTTAACCCTGAGGGAAAAGGCTTTGATTTGGTTTAATTGTTGTCCTGCTAACACTGTTACCCAATATACAGTACACAGTTTTACCCATATTTATACACAAGCAGATATTTTACAATCATTATTCAGGTTCACTTTTGGCTTAATTTTTTTACTTCAAGTTATTAATCCACATCCTTAACCACTAACATCCTTAACTACTACGCCCCCTGCTGTCCTTTTTACTTCAAGTTATTAATCCACATACACCACACACTGTCCTTCATTCCACACAGTCTCCACTCCAGCGCTCCAGCAAGAACCATTTTCCTGATGTCATTTATTAATCGCAAATTGAAATCGCTTGACTTAGCCTGACTTACTTGAATCCAACGCTTGCTGCCTTGGGACAGGTGACACGGCGCATTGCTGCAGCTGAGGGGGAACTTCGTCGCAGTAAAAGGAAAATCGCATTGGAAACGGAGGCGAATGACTTTACCCAGCATGCCGGGCTGCTTTGCATGTTAACGCTGACAGGGAAGGAAAGGAGAGGAAGTTATATTTAATTGGATTTTGATGGGTGCCTGTTGTCATGACACCAAGATCTCCCCTTTGTATGAAGTCATTTTCGAAGCAGGAAGACCGCCTGCCACAGGAAATTAGGTTCTTACATTAGCCAGCGGTGATAGAGAAGGAAAGGAAATTTACCTGGACGTTCTCAGCTTCAGGCCTCCAGTGCAGCGACACTCTCATTTTGTGACGCTAAGCTGGATTATTCACTTTCTCCAAATCAGGAAAACTCCACCATTTTTTTTTATTTGACTCTGGATGATTTCATACACTTGGCAAAGGAAATTACGTCAGATGTGTGTTTACTTTCTAGAAGGTTCCCGCTCGCTTGTGGGGCAGCCTTGTTTTTCAGGACTCAACAAAAAGTATAATATGAGTGTCTATCCCAATATAAATACCAGGATTCTGCTCTGGGTGCTATTTAGATGTAGTGAATTCGGCAGAGCTCTGTAATATGTCTTTCTCTAATAGGAATATCCACACTTGCCCCCTGCTGGTCACCAATGTGCAGAGACACTCAATTGTCACCATCTTTATGTTAAATGAGCAGAGACTCATGAAGAAGGCTGAGGCCTATGACAGTATGCATTCTGTCATTGGATAAAACTAACATTAAGCAAGAAACTGCTTAATTAGATACATGTATGTCATCCACCCTGTTTGTGTAACATGTAAATAAGCTCATGGGTGGAATACCGACTTGGGAAGTAGTCACAAATATTTTTAAGTGCTGACTGATTTTGTGATTTGGCACAAAAAGCCTTACAGATTGTTTCTGTGTGTTGGACATGCACCCAGTATTGCCTTAAAGCTCACAACAGCATTGGTGTGCTCTGTTTTTGTACCAGAAGGAATAGCAGGAGATGTCAAGAACATTATCAACTGGCTACAGCGTTAGTCACCCATCGATGGGATTTGTTTACACGGCCGGAGCTATTAACAATTAATTACACTGCTTAAGCCGTCTAACCGAGCGGTTTGTCAATTAATCTGGTGCTTTGCCAAGAATATTAAGCAGAGCCTTTTGTGAGATTAACCCTCAATCCTGCACAGTAATAAATTGGACAATCCACAAAGTCCTCACACGTACGGTAAACGCACTTGCACAGCAAACAGCTCGCCCTTAACGAACGAGGGCGTTTTCGGGCGATTTAGGGACGTCCCCGGCAGACCTCACCATGCATATGTGAATCACACGGTAAACAGCTCGCCCTTAACGAACGAGGGCGTTTTCGGGCGATTTAGGGACGTCCCCGGCAGACCTCACCACGCATATGTGAATCACATGGTAAACAGCTCGCCCTTATCAAACGAGGGCGTTTTCGGGCGACTTAGGNGTCCCCGGCAGACCTCACCACGCATATGTGAATCACATGGTAAACAGCTCGCCCTTATCAAACGAGGGCGTTTTCGGGCGACTTAGGGACGTCCCAGCCAGAGCGTATGCGAGTCCCACAGACTTCTTCCTTGAGCTGGAGATGTTTGCATAGTACACGGGATTTGGTGATGCAGATTGGATGTCTAATACTTTGCCTGTTATTCTCATGAGTGTGGAGGTACCAAGCACCATGTTTTGGGTCTAAGGCTTTGGCCTAGTTCAGTCTGGTTTGACATGCTTTGGCCTGCTGCACTGGCAACAGGACCCATTTTTTAATAATAAATAACTTTTAGACAATGGCTTTGTTCATAGGAGTTCAGTTGCACAAATCCCTGCATGCACAACTGGTTGGATGTGCAAATTATGCTCACTTTTTTGGTTAAGTTTGGCTGCCAGCAGTGACATTATGTAAAAAGAAAGAGGCAGGAGAACCTGAAATCACTTGAACCATGTTCCAGTCAAGATGAGTTTACTTTTAAAAAGGTAAATATTACAGCTTTAAAAATGACGCATTTCTGCTGTTTGGACAGTGAGTGGCTCTCTGTAGGCATCCTCACCACAGCAAACCATGAATATAAACTCTTCTCAAATGATTTCACGTGCTATTGCAGCCGTTAAATTAAATCTATTCCATTTGTGCTGCTGAGATTATTCAAAAATGTTGCCAGTGGTTACTTAATGTAAACTGTACCTGTGACATCATCAAAAATGGCCACAGTGGAGGTGGGGTGGGCTGGATGGCGGCAATGCAGCTAGAAGGGTTTGTGTCTTTTCTAGCAGAAAAATGGACGGTGATAGCCTGCAGTTAAAGCATGCTGTGAGAAATTGTTGGGACACAGACGGATCGGCTCTGGTCGCCGGGTTTTCAAAATGGCCTGGAAACCGAGAAACACATAGATCGCCTTGCGTGACAGAACCCAACAAAATTCACGTTCATAATAATCACTGTGATCATGGTGGGGGGGGGGTTCAATGGCATGGAAGGCTGACGTGGACAGAAAGGCAAGGAGTGCTTATCTGCGGGCTGTCTGTATCCAAACACCGGTCGCTTTCAAAATGTGGAGCAGCCTAATTCAGACATGTGACTCCTGGGGTTAATCTCCCTGTCTGTAGATGTCAGATTAAAACAGGAGCTGTGTATTCTCGCTCCACACTGATTTGCTCTTCAAATGGAGGATCAAGCAGCAAAATCACATGAAATATTTTGCCTCTCAGCTAAAAATATTTTTGACTTTAAATAAACATTAAATACATAGACATTGAAAGATCTTATCCATAAAATATAATTACTTGCGAATTTTATATCAATAAATTATTTTCCATTCCGCTCTACACCCATTAGGCCTTAAAATTTTGTGTAAGAACACTACGGTACAACTTATGCTTGTCAGTGTTTACCTGATTATCCTGAACTGGCAGGAGCTAAAATATGTATGTGTATATGTATTTTATATATATATATATATATATATATATATATTATAAAAGTGACCAAAAAAGCACTTCAAACCATAGACAAGCTGAAGCTGCTCATATTCATGCTTTATCAGGTTAAAGATTTGAAAGTCCTTAGTGTAAAAATAAGAGCTGTACCATGTTTAAGGGAAAAGCATATCTCCACTGTTGGGGTTTAAGGTTGCTAAGATCCGTACCCTACACCATATACTGACCTTTCAACGCCCTGATGTCTGCAGCAGCAAGAAAGCTCAAGATTGCGGAGGGTCCTCGTGCCAGGGCGTGGGTCTGGGGTAGGACATATTTCAGTGCAGTTATCGGTGTGTTTTTTTTTTATAGAGACATACACACACATTCTCAGGGGATTCGGTTCTATCCTGAAACATCTGCCAATTTTGCTAATAAATTTGCATTTTATGAAAGGGCAATAATGACTCATTTGCTTGGATGTTTTATTAAAACACTCCCTGCGGGAACTAAATCTTTACCTCCGATTCCTGAAGGACGTCCGGGTGTAACGCGGTTCCATCAGCCTGCGTTATTAAAAGCTCCACGTACCGCGCGTGAGGTACGGACCTACTGATTGATATTTATGTGCATGTTCTTGCTCGCTAACCGCAAAAGTCATGTGAGCAAATCTCTAAAATAGCTTTCTTAAAATAAACCGCAAGGTTGTATGAATCGCTCGTGCCAGCGGAAAACACTGCGTGGGAAAGCGATCCACACCTTGGAGCTTTGTGCTGAACTGGATTCATTAGCCGCTGCGACGAGCGCGGGTCCCTTCAGCGCTCCCAGTTTGCGCGCGGGTCCCTTCAGCGCCCGCGCGTCGCACCTGCAACATCAGGGTCACACTGAGGAGGTGGGAGGGGGGGCGTTACCATTCGCTCCCCTGTTCAGTTTTCAAAGACAGATTATTTGGAAACAAAACTGCAGGAGCGCGTGCAACACTGCCGATCTAAGACTAAATCTGTTCCTGTAGGATTTATGTTAAAATCACATAGAGCACTGGGACTCCACCTTGTGCTAAGGATTGTTGGTTCCAATCTCATTATAAAGCTCCACTGATACTGGGAGTTGAAACGGTCCTGCAAGTTGTAGGTATGAATCCTACACTGAAGCAGGCGTCTCTTTGTTGTTAAAACATTTAAAATGTAAGATTTAAAATATTTATCCCATAACCGGCACAAGCTGAATAAATAAAGGAAACAAAATTAACTAAAATAGGTGCGGCCATGAAAGGGGAGCGCAAGATTTTTTACGCAGAAGAAACAAAGCATCTTAATAAAGGCTTTTCGGTGCTGAAATCGGATGGGGAGTGGGGCGGGGGGTAGAGGATTGAGAAGAACAAAGACTCCCCTTCTCAGAGAAGCAGCTTCGCGGTGTAGAACTACCGAGTTCCATTCATCTTTAATGCATCAAAACCTTGCCTTCTTCAGTTTGCGAACTCACAGCAGCAATGGAGGAAGTGACAGGATTGAAGGGCGAGGCGAGGGGGCACCGGTGAGAGGAGGGGTTACCGCGAGGACGCACGGGAACGCTGAAAGATTGATGAGGAGACAGACATTCAGCTCGTCTGCCAGCCCAGATAATTGGGCAGACCCCTACTCTCCCTCAACTACGGAGTAGCCATTCGCGGTGGCCGGTTGTGTTGCGCAAATTTTTGTTGCTTTTCCTTGTAAAATGAGATGATACCATTGAAATCCCTGCCTGTTTCTATTTTTTTTTGCTCGATCACAGTAGTATTTCAAGGCTTGGAGTGACCCCTGCTGGTCAAAAGTATGCACGCACTAATAATGACACAAGTTCGTGCATTAGACAACACAGGAAATCCCAGCTTGCATCACTTCCAAGGCCAATCCTGCAGTGTTGGCACAACCCTAATGTTCCCCCTCCCATGGGAACTAAAGCCTCAGCCCAGGTCATCCTATATTGAAATGTTTCATTAATCTTAATGGGGGACTTCAACTAGGAAGATTTACACAAAAAAAGACAACATAACTCATCTCTGCCTAAGGCAAAACACTTCATTTGGAATTGCAAACTCCCTTTTAGGGAAGAGCTGGTCCACGTGTTACTTCATCTCACCAGCTTTGGAAACATCGAGCCTTTTTCCCATAAATAACTGATTTGGATATATTGCAACTCATATTCAACATCTACAGTGACTCTGTATAATATACCGTAACTTAGCACCCATTTAAGCTGCTGGATTTCTCAATTAAGGAGAAAAATCTTCTTGATTATAAATCCAATAATTGACCCGCCACAGCAGATATTGTGCATGAGAGTTTTCAGCAGGGATATGAGGTCAGGGCCCACTTTTGGGTTATAAATCCAAGAAAGGATGCACATCTAGTTTAACCCATTCAGGGGTGGTGAGAATCTCTCATTTGAACACCAAGCAAACAGAATGGCAAGACCACGGGAAAGCTTGGAGTTGCTGTGTGTTACCCAGGGGAACGACTGCTCTCGTCTGAAGTTGGTACATAAGGTACGCCCCTGTTGGACTGCGTTTAATCTCCAAGGTACAGGAGCCATTTCTGCGACATCGGAAGCACGTTACCACCGTATTTAATCAAAATACGCAGCAGTCAGAAACAGTCCTTTTAAGTAATAGCAGCCCAGGCGTGGAGTGTTTCTGATCCTTTTTGAATAGCTGTACTCTATACAGCAAAAAAAAAAAGAACTGGTTTGTCTTCTCTGCACGTACAAGGACCCCCCCCCCTTTACGGGAAGGTGTTAGTCACAAGCCTACGGTTCTGATATATTCAGCCTGTATTCTGGCTAACGTTTGATCTGCGATCGGGTTTCGATTACACCCGTGGAAGAAGAGTGAGCTCAAGGCACACGTGTGCTACCTGCGGTCACATCCCTCTCTAGAGGTGTCCAGTTCTGATATCTACCCTCCCCACCCCCACAAGCCTTCATCTCCCTACTTTCCCCTAAATTCTGAGAGTACGTCCCAGTTCAATTGCCCCCCTCCCCTGCCGCAGATATCTGAGCAGCTGCAGGAATATGCAAGTCGGTCACATTTAAATAAAGATGTTTTCAACTTGACATCTCCACCCAATGACCTACAGCAGGGGTGTCAAGCTTCAGTCCTGGAGGGCCGGAGCCCTGTACATTTTTGGGTTTCCCCTCATTTAACACGCCTGATTCAACTCCTTGTGCTAATTACCACACCTCTTGAGCTGAATCATTTGTGGGGGAACAGGGAAAGAACTCAGTTAGACATTGTTACTTAAAGAGGTAGGGAGTGGAAAGTCCCCACATATTTAGAAATGTGTGTGTGTGTGTGTGTGTGTGTGTGTGTGTGTGTGTGTGTGCGCGCACGCACTTGTGCACACGTTAAAAAGTGTGTGTAATCCTGCTACACTGCTTGCAAAAGATCCTACCTCTCTGCATTGGCGACACTCCGCCCAGCAATTAAGCTATATGAGCACTGAATGCTCCCTTGAATTTCCCTATTAAGTAACGGAATCAGGTGTTGGGGAAGCTGAGGAAAATTTAGATTCTAACTTACTTGTCAGCTCAGCTTGCAAAGGTCCAACCCGACCGCACGGAATAATCTACGCAGGCTTTATGCGTCGAGGGCGTGCTGTGTAACGTGTGTGAGAAAGGGGCCCGGAGCTCCGTTTATTTTTTTTCTGCTCATTCTCTTTCCTTTCACCAGTTCGCCCTCTAGGTGAAATCATGAAAAAAAATCACAGGAGACAGACGACATGGCGCTCCCATAATTGGTTTTCTTTAGCTTTCTATTATTAGTATTTATTATTTTCTATTTCCTGCCTGCTGGTTTAGCGGCAGTTGAAAAGCAAGAATAGAAATTGAATGCGGAGCACCAGTGGGTCTTTTGGTCCATACTGGAACACACCACCCTGACCAATTACCAGTAGCGGAATTTGCATATTCCCCTATTGCGCGCGCCAGGTTTTTCGCATGTTTCCTTTCGCGACCAAAGGCTTCCTTCTCACACACTCCAAGCAAGATGAGGCTTGCCCTGGGAAAGCAGCTGCAGCCGAGGGTACAAGGGTGAATCTAGTCTTGAAGGAATATATCTGTCTTTACATTTAACTGTTTATTTCATTAATTGAGAGGCAGAATGTCGCCCCCTTTGCTTGATATGTGAATGACAGTTTAAAGACTATGTTTCCCTAAGGACTAAAAGTGTACCTGATTGTTAAAGTTGAAGTTAATAAATGATAACACTCTTAAACTGAAGAATTTAATTGTCATTATCATAATATAAATAATTACTCAGACTCACCATTTTATGAATATCCCATTTTACTCGAGCTGACTGAAATGACACACGGTTAAAATATAAGAGCGTTCTGCTTTTTATGTCTTGTAAGCGTTAGTTAAACATTATGAATTAGTTATCCAACCAGGACTGACAAAAGCTGCAAGCGTGAGTCTCCAGTGCCTTTTGGTGTTCATTTCACCTGCTTCCTGCGTAGCTACAGTTCCAGTTCCTCACCTTGTGAATCTGTAACGGACTGCTAATGTAAATCCCGAGATCCCGTACTGCAGCATTGTTCATTTTTACCCATGTGGAAAAAACAGCATAAAGGACCAATGTATTGTTAGCACTAGTAAGTTTGCAGTATTCATACAACGGGCTGTACATTCTGTACAGTTGATTTGCTTTTTTACAATTAGAATTTGCATACAACCCTACAAGCATGTTAAGTACATTGCACCTTTTAACTTAACTTTATACATTTATTTTACATATAATGTCAGAAACTGTAGTTATTTCTCTTAATATATTACTATTAATTATCATCATTATTTCCCGCGGCTACTCATGGTGAGGGTCACGTGGTGTGTATTATTATTATAGGGGAGACCGGGTATGGTTGTAACATGGGGAGGGTTGTAACACCACCAATTCCACCAATCAGGGATATGATGAGAGTCATGTAATCATTTCAGCGTTTACATACTTCTTCTCTAAACTCACATGATGGATATCAAGGCTGGAAACAGGTGCAAGCAGATTCTACTAATAAAAAAACAGATCTTCAGGTAAGAAAGTATTTTTTTTTACCAAAACTATATTCTGTTTAGTATTTATACTATTGCAGATAAAATCATATGACTTAAATAAAATTAAATTGTAGTTTCTGAGGTAAACTGTGATGTATTTTTCCCCTGCTAATTTCAAACCACTATCCTACTACAGCTAGTTAAACAATAGCTAAGAGGGCTGGACTGGGTTGTAACACACCTTTAATAAGTGTTACAACCATCCCCTTACATACAAATAAGGACACTTTCTTGATTTTAATACTTTTACAGAATGTCTAGACAGTGGGAAAGAAAGACTGAAAGAGGTGTGTCTGCCAGTGTTTTAAAAAAAGCATCTGATGAGGTCACAAGGAAGGGCCAGTCAGTCGGGTCTGCTGCGAAGGCACATGGGATCTGCCATGTAACACTGAGCAGACACTGCAAATCACTGCAGAAGCTGAGAGACCAGGGATCCAGTGATCTTAGTTTAGTTTAGTTTAGTTTAGTTTATTAGCTTATTTAACAGGGGCCATGTACAGAACAAATCCTGTACCAGAGTTAGCTATACAGCTAATTTACATCAGTATACAGCTAATTTACATCAGTATACAGCTAATTTACATCTTCTCAGTGTAGGTTACCACAGCAGCAACAAAGTTTTCTCTGAGGTGCAGGAGAAGGTGCAGGAAATTTTTTTGACTCAGGTGGCAGACCTGTATTATGGACTGACAGTCTCTGGGCCCACCAAGCCTGTACTCCAGAGTCACCAAGATCCATTTCTCAGCATTGTGATTGATTAAGAATACACACAAACATTATTTTTATCAGACTTTTTTTGCACAGATGTATTGTAGTAGAGTGTTGATTAAGCTTACATACCATTAAGGAAGTTTTGTTCTAGCAGACTAGTGGATTTGAGTTATGGTAAGTCACAGAGACATTGTTCTGGATTGTTCGCTTATTTCAAGAAACCTCTTTTCGAAGTATATAGCATGGTGTGGCCAATGTTTATGCTTCTGTTGTCTAACTGATACAACTTACCCCAGCATGTGTTACAACCTACCCCGGTAGTGGGGGAGGTTGTAACGAAGGAGCACCATGTATTTGTCATGAACTCACAAGGTCTGTGATATTCTTGCAGAGGTTTGACTTGGTGCAGTTTGTAGCAAACAAAAGTGGGTACTTTATATAACAGTTTTAAAACTCTAGCTCAAAAATTCAGTGAGTTATAGATGGTAAAGCAAAATGTGTTACAACCATACTGGTCTCCCCTATTCTCTGATTTTTTTAGATGACAAAATAGATGAAAATGGTCGCAGGGGTGATCTCGGCCATATTTTATTATAATTCAGTTTGTTCCTTCGGGATTATTTCCTCACCCCCTGTTCCTCGGCGCCGTTCCATGTGCTCCAGTCCTTCCAAAAGATAAACATGGCCAGGTTTCAGCCGTGCTGTCAGTGACGGCATCTTCACAACCCAGCCACTGCTTCATTGCTAAAAATTTCTCA